ATGTGTATAAGAGACAGGTCGTGACGTCACCCAGCGAGGCGGGGGAGGGAAGGGAGGGCGAGGAGGGGAGTACAAAATGGCGGCGGCGGCGGGAGGGCAGGGCCTGTTATGGTTGCTCTGTTGTTTCTTAAGAGCGAGAGTAAGGCTGTGTGAAAGGTGGGGGAGCGTCGGCCGAGGATTTCCTCTGCTGCTAGGAAACCTTTTTTTGTAAGGCCTTGGATGTTGAGTGTTGCCCCAAGATAGGCCTGTATGTGCTCTCTTAGGTCTCTCCCAGCGAAAGGTTCCCACGGGTTCTTTGAGGGCTGTTAGAGCTGCTGGCTGCTGTTATCTCACACGCCCCCTACTTAGGCTGGTCTCCTTTAGCCACTTTTTAAGCTTTACTGCCAGAGCTTGTGCTGCTCTAGCTTCCTTTTTCCTTATCTTCTGTTCTTTGCAAAAGAAAAAAAATCTAGGTAGAGAGAAAGCTCAGCACAGGTGGGCCTTTAGAAGCACGGCTCTGAGTGGTGCTAGCTTTCTTAATGTTCTGGCTGCAACTTTCCTCAGGTTTTTAATTTTGCATTGCAAGAGCCTATCCAGGCTGGAAGGTGCTCAGTACTTTACAGATTTCACAGTGTTATATGTTAGTAGTTAATTATACAAAACAAAAGGAATTGTGATGAGACAGTTCTTGAAAGTGTTTATGTGTATGTTTTGTGGTTGATGCTTGTACCCTGCATAGTTCACATAATAAAATGGCTCATACAGATGGATGCAAATGAAGATGAAAGATGTAGTCTTCATAGCCTCTTTAAGGCAAGATTTAGGGCGATGCAAATGATTGCATAACTATGGCTGACCCTCAGGGAGTGATCTCTATATATTGTGAAGTTTCAAGTAGGCCAGATGACACCTTTAAAAACCTCTGTGAAGGGTAAAGTAAAACAGTGAGTAAAGATGGTTTGATTTCACCTTCTCTTTACTGCTTTGCCCTTCTTTCTGTGCTCTCTCTGCTGAATATGTTTATTTTGGAGCACCATGACACAGCACATAACACTGTGACGAATGAAGTGGTGATGTGAAAACAGTAATTACTTATAAAATATCGTTGTGTTAATATTGCCAAAGAGAAGATTCAGTACCATGCTGATGTTGTTTTTCAGGCATTTGCTATTTGGCTCACTATAGCTAGATACTTTGCCAGGGAAACTCAGATCAATCCTCCCAAATTCAAGGTGAATAGCAACCTAATTTAGGGAGAAGGGAAGACTGGATTATTACTTAAAAAACAGGTTAAATTTTCAGGACTGTAGCTGAGCATGAGCTTTCCAGTCTAAAATAGTAATTTCCTCTCCCTTCAGCTTCCTCTGGAAGAACTACTACCTCATCACTGTTGCCCTGTTTGTGGGAATGTGAGCTGGTCTAAGGTTAACAAAGGTTAGGAATTCCTGGAGAAATCTGGAATCTTGAAATCAAATGCCGATGCAAAAATGCTAAGAGGAATGGAGAATCTCCTATGTTGTGGAAAACTTGTCAGGAAACTAGTTAAATAAAGGTTGACCATGAAGTTCAAGAACAGATTAGGAGTTCTCATCTAAAAGACTGAAGCAAAGCATGGCAATAAATGTGCAGTTCTTAGAAACTGTTAATGACTGACAAAGGTTCTGTTTGGAAACTGATACTCGGCATGCATTTGTATCTGCAGAAAGGTGAATTTGGCCAGGAAGAAGAGAGTAGATTAGGGAGATCATGCAGAAAAGTCTAGCAAAAATAAGTAAATTAAAAACATGGTGATGAGTGAAAGTGATGGGAACAAAAGGTGATTTGCACTAGAAGAAAGCAAAACAAACACCAGATCATGACTGTAAACGGAGTTAATAGAAAATCAGCATAAAAGGCCTTGCTGGTAAGAACCTGGGCCTGGCCACAATGAGAGGTTATGTGTGATAAAATGGTCTGATCCAGGAAAGAAGTTTCCTGCCTGTTCTTATTAACATATACAGGTGGCTAGGACAGCTGCTCTTTTTGGGGAGAAAAAAATTTGAGTTGCTAGGATGTCTAAGAATAAAACATTTCTAGATTTCACTGAGAACTAGTATTAAAACTGACTGGATTCTACCCAAAATAATAATAATAATCATAACTTCAAATCTACAAAAGAAAAATAAATTTTGCTATAAAACAGTTGTGCTGCTTACCTCTTGCACTACGGTGTTATTTAGCTGATGCAAATCTGGAAAAAATCAGCTAAATGAAGTTAAATATGGTTAGAATTTCTATTGCATAATGTAATGGGACTAACATAAACAGAAATGAGGAATACAATACCTTAATTGTTACCTTTTTAAGTTATAAGTAGACAGCCAAGAACTTATGAAAATACAATTTTTATCTTGTAATAGTTATGTCACTGCTAGTAGTTTTGAACCTCTAGATGCAGTACAAAGATGAGCTAATTCATTTTTAAATCCTTTTTCTATTGTGCAAATGTTTTCTTTTATATCTACATATAAAAGAAGTTTAAAATACAACATAGTTTTTGTTAGTGTGTAGATAAGAGTCTGTAGAAAACCAGGACTTGGAGTTAACACTTTGCATTATATTATCTCTATTTCTGACTAGTATTTCTGCAATTACCAATATTTGAATGTGTTTTTTGGAGTGAAGTTTCAGACAACACAGTGTTTTGTCAGTTTCTGGTTTCAGTAAAGCAACTCTGCATCATAATTATAGCTATTCAAACTAAGATAAATTGTATCTTCATGTAATTGGAATCTGGTTTAGCTACAGATAAATAAACAGGTTTATGTACCTGTTTCTGTTTTTCAGCGTTATTAACTTAATGATGTGGCTTGCACAGTGCTTGACCTAATGTCTGGAAAACAGTTTCTGTGCTCCTGCTTATGTGTCTGGACTCTGGCTGCAGTACTTTTCATAGCATGCTTATTTTAAAGTGCTACTTGTGATGCTTTATCTGTCTCTAAGTTTTGGTGTTTTTTTAATATAGCATGTATCTTTGATCCTTCTTGGTCTTGCCTTGTGCTGGTCTTCATATAAACATCCCTTACTCACAAATGTAGATGGAAGCAATTTGGATAGAGCATTCCTCTCTTAACCTAGGGTGAGGGCTGCCACCTAATTAAATAATCTTCTGCCCTTACCCTTAACAGGCTGTAAGCAGCTTTTCCCAGCAAAGCAGGTAAACTCTTGGGATGGTGCAGTAAAGCTTGAAAATACACGATTTTTAAGCATATGCGTATTCTCATGGGCTCTAGTAGCATTTTATAAAAATAAGTAAACTCTTATTCTTCTTTAATGTTCTAGAAGAAAAAAAGAAAGCCACATTATATGAACTGGCTTTGAAGGAAAGTGCTCTTATCTACAGTGGGTGAGAAAGCTGTATTTTATCAGCAAAAAAGGAAGCCTTTTTAGATGGAAATTAAAACTGTCCTTGTTCAGCATGTTTGAATTGCCCTGTTAGTGCAGGTCCTGAACTCTAACATCTGTAAAACCAATGCCCCGTATTTGTTCATCTCATTTCATTTGTAATAACAGGTAGAATAATAAGCAAATCTAGATATACAATACTGACTAGAACTGACAAATGGTTGGAAAGATAAAGTGCCTCTCATTGTATCTCTCTTACACCTACATCTGTCTTTTCAGTTGAAACAAATCAAAGGGAGTTTGCTCTTATTTTCTTACATATTTGTGAGAGCATGTATAAATTGCCAAGGTTTGGGAGGAGAGGGAGATGATACTTTTCAGATGCAGTGAGACCCAGCTAAAAAAAAATGGTCAAATGAAAAGGTTAGGAATGCAGTGGAACACTGCTCTCTTTACCTAGAAAATGAGGAACAGGACACTCCTTAAGACCAGAAGAAAGGCATGAGTCACAGAAGCCTTGTGAAGCTGTAGGTTAGTAGCTCATTTTTGGTCACTCATTGGTTCATTTTGCATCACTGCAGGATGCTGGATTTCAAACTGCTAGAGCAAGTGCAGATGTATAGTTGTCTCTAGTATATGTGTGTTTACTGAAACAGTGGTTATAAATGCCTCTGATCTGAGAATCATGCTGCCCAAGGTGCTGTGAATTAAATGTCCTGATAGTAGGATTATTTCTTCGGGTACCCTTTTCAGCTCTTGGTGATAATTAACAGCCCCCAAGGATTTGAAGCCACAGATTGAAAACGCCTGCATGAAACTTTCTTTTTCTTAACTAGGTTATAAAGAGTGGTTTTCTGATTTCCTAGACTTACTGCCAGTTCTGGCTAGAATAAACTGGGGATAAAAATGCTTTCTGTATCTCTGACCCTGTGCCTGTAATTGTTTCACTGTATCAGATAGCTCTCTGCAGAACAAATATATGGAAACAATTTGCAAGAAAGGTTGAGACTAAAAGGTTACATTTTTCTTGAGACTGCTTTTTGCATAATAATTTCATGTAGTGATCTTATTTGCCTAGCAGCTGATAAGATTTCTTGATGGCATCCAGCTGTAGCTAGGGTTGGTGTAATTGGCTGCTTTTTTCTGAAGTCATTTGTTCTGGGGAACTCTGGTAAGAGCTGTGGGCTGACTGCTCAAAGACTTTGCAACAGCTGGAGGTAAGTGCTGTGAGCACGAGTAGAGTTTGATTTTTTCACTGATGTGCTTGTCTACCACTATTGTAAAGGCTTATTGCTTTTGTTTAACTCTGCTAGAGAGATGCATGTATAGGTCTGATTTGTGAAGTTCTTATCTTCCTCCAATAACCGATTAGGCAGTAGAGATTGGCCTGCACAGGATATTAATGAGCTGTTAATGTATGTAACCATCTTGTGGAAACAATAATTTGATTTATTTTAAGGTGGTATGTGTTTTATCAGTGGTCATGTGTTGGCTGACTGGTTCAGCTTTTGGCCAGTACAAATTCTGAACATGATGATTCAGGAAGCAGACTAGACCAATAATTTAATAGTGAAACAGAGCCTGAATTGAAACAATGCCAAAAGGTCTTAATTTGTTTTGTTTTGGTTTTCGTGGCAGAGAGAAAACTGGGGAATTGTTTGATTGTTGATCCCCTAAACAATTTGCATTGGGGACAAATTTTGAATACCAGTAAGTAACCTGATTCTTTCAAAACTAATTAACATAAATGTTGTTGTCATGTGGAGTACCTTTGAGCATATCAGTATGTGTTGTGGGGGGTTTAATGAATGTAGTGTGTTCTGTGTCTATTAACCCTTTTTGTTGTCATGGAAGAGAAGAATAATTGCATTAACAAATGCTGTCTGTGGTATGATATAATAAATTGCATCCATTTTAGCTGTGCATTTTCCGTAGCTTTGATTGTCATGATCTCAGTGCTCATATAATCTGTTTTAATTTACAGGGCTGTCAGCTGGGTGAAAAAATAAGTAGCTTGTTCAGAGCTTTCAAGGAAAACATGATGCAGCATGATCACATGTATTCATGTAAATGTTCCAGGCTGCCTCAGCTGAGGAGATGAGACCGCACTGAGGTATGCACTGTGTATGTGTGAATCTCCACTCTGTGCCTCTCTTCCACACAGAGATTTTCTTGGGAGTGTATATGAAGGACTGTGTGTTTGTAGTTTCAACTTGAGAAATAAGAGGGAGTATAACCCCATATGCCAACTAGGTCTGTTTGCCAGAGGATCTGATTTTTATTTTTTTTCCCACAGGAAGTGAGACGTGCATCGAAGAACTTCTCAGGAACTAGTTTGGTGTTCATACTACCTGTATTTTTATAGCTGTAACAGATTTTACTACTTTAGATGTGATGAAACTGGGTTTGGTGATGCTCTTTTCGTGAGGTGCAAAGCACCCAGTCTATCAACTGTGCCTGCCTATCGGTGTTTGGATCATTGGATACTGCCTTTTTCTTACCGTGGTAGTCTTCAGATATTCTGGGTCTGCAGCACAGGACTAGAAAATTGTCTCAGCTCTTTGGTGGTGGGCGAAGATTTTGTCCTGCTTTGCTGCATTCAGTGGAAGTGTGGAGTTATTCTCATGCTGCTGGACAGGGGTTTGTGTTTTGCTGCTACAGGTTCAGGTCCTGAATCCAAAGTGTTTGGACATTTTAGGTTTTATCCTTTCATCCTGGTGCCAGAAGGGATAGACTACCACTGAATGCTTGATCTTCACACTTTTGGCACAGTATGGTCACCTAAGGAATCAGAAAAAGATTTAGCTTCCTGATTTAGCTAACTAAAAAGATCTAGCTTTCCTTAGAGAAAGAGTAGTTAAAAGGCTGTAACTTTCTTTGTGCAGAGTCATTACAGCTGCTGGCAGCTCTTGCCTTGCACAGAGATTAAAGAATCCCTTACAGAAGTTATCATTTAGATGGATTTGCTGTTAATATGTTTTAATCTGAGATATTGTGTGATTTAAGTCTTTGGACCTTGATGTTGCAAAAGACTGCCTAATTAAAAGGGGCACTTGCCAGGGATGGGGTGCAGCTTGTTACCATGGTATGCTGTAAATCATGATGCTTCTGTCTTCTACCTGTTTGGCAAAGTATTATCCACTTTCTGATGTGGAATGGCTTTATAACTCCAGTGGATTTAATATTAACTTCTGATATTCTGATCAATCAAGATGTTATTGAATTCTCCCTCAAGAAAAAAAAATGAGATTTTCCTTTCTGGAAGGACCTGCAGAGTTTTCAGAGGAGACTTCAAAAGTCAGACTAAAGGCATTTGCTCATATTTTCATATCAGACTCTCCCTGCACCCTCCCCCTGCCCCATCTCCCAGCAGAGAAAAGGTATAAATAATGAAAGGTGAAGTTCCTAAGTAAATACCATGAAATTTTGAGTGACTTAGTCATACTGTAGTATTTTTCATTCCTCTGTCAATAGGGAAGAATTCTGCTCTCTGGAAACTGTGTGCTTTATTTTGCAGCCTGCTTTGCACACTGAAAACAACTTCAGATTTTGTACTATGAAGTGCTACCACTGGAATTTTACTACAGCCCAAACATTTTTACCACTGGCTGATAACCTCAAATGTGCTGTCCCTAGTTTAAGCGGCAGATATCATACGACGAGATACTCCAGGCTGTCCTCAGTGTGAAATCTAGTTTCAGAAAACCCACTCCTGTAAGCCTTGTCTGTGGCAGGAAGAATAAGACCAGTAGTGATTCTAATGCTTTTCACCAGGCAGGGAACTCAACAGAACGCTTTGTGGATTGGGTGCATGTGCTTATGCATAAATAACCAAATGGAGATTTAAGAAAGCAGTATCACACAAAAAAAGAATAGTGCAGATTATTCATTATCAGGATAATACTAATGAGATGAGACTATTTGTGTTGAAGTTCTTTCCACAATAATATGATTTTTTCAACTTTGTCTTTTGCCATTCAGCTGAAGTTGTTACATGACTCTGCAGACTTAGGGATGGCTGGTAAAATTGCAGTGGAGAGGTACTTACTTCATAATGCTGTGAGAGCTCTGTAATACATGTAATCTTGGTATTAAAATATGGAAACTTTAGTGTTATAATGAGTTGCCTCTTGTTGGGATTCTAGAGGGCTTTCTACAAGAGAATGGACATGTGAGCAATCCTGCGTGAGAACAAGACCGATAAGAGCCTCAGCCGAGCAAGAATGCGATAAGGATGTGACCCTGAATGAGGGGGGAGAAACTCGACGAGACAAATAACCCCTGGAAGGGGTTGGGACGGAAGAGGAAGTTATACAGAGCAGGAGGCCTGGCAAGGCTGATGTGGCACTTTTTATCCTATCATAAGAAGATTTAAAGCACGGGCTAATTTAACTGTCCAGTCTTGAGGACTTGTACTGCATGTTACTCACATGTGCAGGAGAACATTATAAAAGGGCTTTCTTAGTTGTAATCAATGGGCATTCCTTGATCACATTGGTCGTGTGCGTGCTCAGCTCTCCCGCAACCTCTGAGTAATGCTACAACTGCATGGATTGAAACTGGATAAAGATTTACTGAGGTGTATACAGTTCTGCTGGACTCCCTTTTCCCAAGGTGACAGCAGCCTGTGGATGAGACAGTACTGCCATTTTGACAAGCCGCCTTAGTGTAGTTGCAGTCAGTAACTCTCACCAATTTTGGACTAGAATAAACAACACTGTAGTGGCTTTTTGGTCAACGTAAATTGTAGTTTTCTGGTTGACTTATGCTGACAGGAGTATTTTGCTACCTTCCTGTTGCTAACCAACAGAGCTAAAAGTGTAGGACATGTTTGGGAAATGTTTATGTTCTGGCCCTCTTGCAAATAGAAACTATTCTGAGAAATACCCCTCATGGCATGGGGAGGCAGAGTGCTGCTTACTGATTTTGGCATATGAATGGCATATGATTTTGGCATGTTATTATGGCAAAGAATAAACACAGGTCATCAGTACTGTCTCGCCCTGCTGGATGTGAACTCTCCAGCTCTAGCAATACCTTGTTCAGGACTTCAGTAGCAAGAACTGAAAGCTTTCATTCCCTATGTCTGTATCCAGTAATCAGACCCTGGGATGAAGGGGACTAAGTACCTCCATATCAGGGAATACATACCCAGTCTTCTGATGATCAAATGAAGTGGCACTTAGTACTGGCTTTAGTTTAGGGTTGGGGAAGAGAGAAGGACTGCTGTTACGGAGAAGGAGGAGCACATATATCATCCTCTTGGGAGTGAGCCCCTTTCTCCCTCTGCTGACCAGGACAGTCTTGATTGATAGCATGTCAGATGTACCCACATCTGGTACAGTGACAGAATTTGTCCTGTGTATATGGAGGCTTCCTCTTTTTCTCAGATTCATAAATGGAGATTTAACTTTCATACTGAACAACCTGCAGCCCTTCTTGTGTGGGCTGTTAGGTTTTTGGTTTGGCTTGGTTTTTTGTTGGGTTTTTGTTTTGTTTTTTTAAAGCACTGCTGTTCTGAGTGCAGTAAGTAGAGCCTATTTTAGATTAATTCTCCTGGGAAATAATTTCCAGTATAACCTGGTTGTCAACACTCAGAAGCCTTTGGATATAGCCTAAAACCATTTGTTGCAAACCTTGGGAGGTCAGAGTCTTTGAAATAGTTATGTGGAGTAGGCAATGTTTTAAAAATAAAACAAAAAACTTCCCCAGATCTGAGCTGTGCGGCTTTCAGAGCCTCCCAGTTCCTGCAAAGTCTTGAGTGACCCTGCAAATGGGCTTTTTAAAGAGGAAATGCTGCTAGCTGATCAAGGCCCCTGAAGGTGCAAAAAATGTGGAGAGTGTCTACAGCCAGTAAAACTTGTGGTACTAAGATGAAAAATATCCATCATTGAAGCAGTCAGAGTTGGAATCTTCAAAAGTTTTTGGGCTCTGTGGGTAAAGCACTAGATTCTTGGGAGTTCTTGAACTGAGCTAAAATATAACTTAACCAAGGATTATACCATCTTTTAACTTATGTTAATGTGGAGTGAAGAGTATATAATAATTAAAAAAAAAAAACCAAAACAACACACAAACAAAACTTGCAGTACTGTAACTCCAGGTTTGGCACTATATCTTTGTACAGTGTTCAATTAAGTATCTGGTTTGTATAACTGTTGAGGAAGAACTTGCCTCCCTGTCCTAAGTCATTTAGTTTATTGGTATTTTAGTAACATTCAGTGCACGTTTTACTGCTCAAATGGTTAATTTGTTAGTGACCATGTACATTTATTTTGAATATGTGGGTGTTCTTTCTGACTGAATGCATACCTCTGTAGATTTATGCTATGGAACATAATGGAAGCTTAAAATACTCAGTTCTTGGTATCATAGTAGCCAGTTTAAGCGTTTGCTCAAGATCTCTGTTCCTGAGTAACCAGCTCTGAGTCGTCCTCTGTGTATTTCATGTCAGTTTTGGGATAATTATATTTTGAAAGAGATTGGGTTGGGGGTAATTTTGCAGATAACTTCCAGTTAAGAGGTTAAAATAGTTTCCCAGGGGTTGTCTGGTTCCGCTGAGCTATGAGATTGGGCTGGAAGCATACTGAATTCCCGAGCAGACCAACGAAAGGCTGTTGCTGTGGGGCAGCCCCTGTTGCCCACTCCCTTTGAGCTAGCATATAGACTCTCCAGAATCCTTAATGTCCCCATTAGCAGTGTGTAGTCCTGTTCAGGAACCACACCTTGGTCAAATGAAGACCACAGAACAGGTCTAGATGTTCTTATCTGTGTAAGGTTTAGCCTATAGCCTGCTGTTTCTGTTCTGTTTTATGGGATTACTAAGCACTCTAGTACTAAGCTGAGATCACACCTAGAGTACTGTGTTCAGCTCTGAGGGGCCCCCAACATAAGAAGGACATGGACTTGCTTGAGTGGGTCCAGAGGAGGCCATAAAGATGATATGGGGTCTGGAGCACCTCCCCTCTGAGGACAGGCTGAGAGAGTTGGAGTTGTTCAGCCTGGAGAAGGCTCTGGGGAGACCTTATAGCAGCCTCCAAGTACTTAAAGGGGCCTACAGGAAAGCTGTGAAGGAAACGGGAGAGATGGGGGGTGTTCAGGAAAGCTTTGTCA